AGAAATTACTTACGCAGCAATGTTTAAAGGTGATATTACTTTTCGTCAATAATCACGGCAATAGTTTCTTCTGGATATAAATTTAAGATTACTTCCATAAGGACTCCAGAAAAAGAATGTTGTATGCGAATGAATTTGGTCCATGGAAAACAGTTTTTCGCTTGATTCTAATACTACTTCGTATGCCTCCAAGAATCTGTTATACGTTATAGTGTTGCATAATTTCAACAATAAATGTATACTGCTATCAACCACAACAATTTCAGCAATGATTCCATATGATGGGTAGTATTCGTTGTCGTAGTTTCTGATGCACACTATCAGATTCGATCGGAATTCTATTCCATTAACTGTGACTCTCTTAGGCACAAACACATGCGGAATAGTATCATGTAGGAACGGCTCACTACGGCAATGACCCCGCTGAACAATTTTACCTCCACTGAATGAGATTTTATCCCTGAATGGATTGTCAAGGATATCAATGACCATTTTGAAATTCTGGCGTTTAGCGAGGCTTTTGCAAATATTTTTGAAATTCCTGCACGTTGCCGACTGATTTTTGGTAGGCTTATTCTTCTGCTCAAATACCAGGCAATTGAATTGTTTCATGTTGCCGCTTTTTTTAATGCATAGTATGTAATGGTCAAGGTGATGATTTTTATTTATCCGTCGATTGAATTTCGCGTAAAACAACTCTTCGTATAGCCGTATATGCTCTTCTAGTGATGCCAACATGTGATCCGATACTATTGTGGACATTAATATTCGTGTTATGTTGATCAAATGTCCAATCATGTGCATATATTCGCAGTCATCGGAAATTTTGTGACCAAATAGAAAAGGAAACGCCCTTAATAACAAAATATTTTGCGCAGCTGTTTGTTTCAGTTTGTGGGATGTGGGTTTAGAAAGCATCTCGTTTGTGAAATTTGCTGAAGGTCGATTTTTTTTGTCGATATATCCATAGGCAAAAGAATGTATACGATGATTAATAAATTCTACATTCATTCCGAGTTCTTTATTTTTATAATAGTAGCTCAATACTAGCTGCACAGTTGTAGGTACCAAACCTTCTGCTATATCATGCATTGTGTCAAGGGCAAAATTTTCAGTTATGTGGAAATTATTCAATTCATTCAACACGCATCCATTCCGTTTCAAACCACAATCCGATGGGCTTATTTCTCCAGACACAACTTTACTCAAGTTCTGTTCATACCACTCCTTTGTTCGTAGGGGGAAATGTTCAAACGGGTTCTGGTGAAAAGCTGGTCTTTGTATTGTGCAAAGTCTGCAAAAATATGTCGCCATAGGTCCGAGAAGACCAAAAACCTCATGCACAGCCAACGTATCGCCACAAAATATGGTTACTACTGCACGGAGTGTGAATTTTTCCGTTCCGTAGCAAACTGTCACTCCTTCTTCCAGCTTTTTGAGGTCACTTATCAGAGGTTTGAGGATTTTGTTATATCCGTGCTTCTTAGCATCTATAGAGGTACAATACATAAGTGGAAAAACGGTTTTCGGAGAACTATTCCATTTGTCGGGGAAATTTTGAATTTTGAAATCAATAACAGACACTTTGTTTATTCCAGCTCTTGAACTTAACGCATTTCCCAACTCTACGTCGTCTTGGTACAGACTCAGACGTACAGTATCAGGGAATTTTTTGAAATATTTACTGTTTTTGTATGTCTCCCCAGATCGAAAGCTTGTATACTCTTTGATCGTTGCGTTTTCTGGTTCAGCGTCGTTTAAAAGATCTCTGTTTTGAGGGTTTCTGAAAATCAGTCTCAATGTTTCAATAATTGGTGTATACATGAAAGTCTCATTGACTTTAACTTTTTTGGAAGTGCCATCAGTATGCCGGATGTCATCTCGTGTTTGAAGCATCTTTTCTGACGGGTTTGGAATGCCTTCAGCTAAAACATTCAAAAACTTGGTTTGCTTTGATAGGGTTGACACGTCAGTGAACAAATCCGGCAAATGAAACTGATTAAGAAATGAAATAGTTTCTGGAGAATCCAGGTTAATGTCGCGGCCGTTCAAAAATTTTTTTGATTTTTCTTGAAAATAGTCTCCAAGCATTTGAACCAAAGTTTCGCATAGCTTGATCATTTCTGCAATTTTTGATTGTGGTAACGAAACATCTGATGTTAACCGACAAATACCAAGTGCAATAGCTTTTTTGATTTGCTCCAAGGAAAGAGTATCATTTGAGATTATTTCATCAATTTCATCCGGTTGGATAGGGCTACTATCAATTTTTTGGCATTTTGAGGTTAGGTTCCCGCAACTCATTCAAATTAATTTCTCCTTCCAGTGATTGAAGGAAAGGTGAACAAGGATGTTGCTGCATAATATGCCTTTTTAATGACTTAAAATGATCATATCTGGACCTACATTTAGGAACCAGACAATCATAAAACACTGCATCCGGGGCAAATTGTTTGTTCCGGATATGATTATTAATATGCCGCTGAAGCTCATCGACATAACCCACAACTTTTTCATAGCAGAAAAAGCAGGTTAAGCTAGATGTAATTGGCTGAAACGAAATATGCAAATATGTAATTAAATTATACTTACCGAAGATTTCGAACAGTCTTACATCTTCCTGCTGGAGTACTCCAAGGATCGGTTCCATAATTCTAGGTTCTTCCTGTATACAACATACACTATACACAGTTTTTAACAAAGCTTCCAAACACTCAAATTTTTACTAGCGCTATGAAAATGGCGGATGAAAGCTGAAATGCCGAATGTCGGTAAACAAGCGCTGCCAAAACGAAATCTCGGCATATCACATTACCGAGATCAGTGAAATCATTGTTTACGTTTGCGCTCGGCATCCAGTGTTGCCGAATTTCGGAAAAATATGAAACAAGCCGAGATTTCAGTCTACAGTGGTGCTGAATCTCGGCTTAAACTGTTTTTTTTGCTGAATTCTCAGTTAATTATGATGATACCGTGTTGGCTCGGTAATATGTATTGCCGAGCTCGAGAATAATTTTTAAGTGTGTGGGACAAGGCCAATCCACACGAGGTTCACCAAATGGCAATACATCCCCAGAAAGTCACGGACGCGTCATCGGTCCGTACTTCTTCGAAAACGGCAACGGAGAGCGCTACAGGTCGATGATTACCGACTTCTTCTGGCCTAAAGTGGACGATATGGATGTGAACGATATGTGGTTCCAACAGGATGATGCAACGTGCCACAAGATCGTGTGATTTAACCTAGCTAGACTTTTTCTTGTGAGGTTATGTTAAGTCACCACAAGTCTATGCCAATAAGCCGCAAACAAACGATGCCCTCAAAGCCAACATTACTCAAGCCATCAACGAGATTCAACCCGTTTTGTGCGCCAGAGTCATGGAAAATTTGACCTCTCCATTTGAACGATGTCATATTCAATACATAATGGTATTGATAGGCTTTTCAATCGAAAAATAAATCTCGTCAATATCTCACACATGTATGACCAAGGAATCAAACATATCCCCAAATGACAAAATGACAAGCGATCAACGAACCGAATGATAACGCTATGTCAGAAGTGGAAAGCACTAATAATATCTCGATTACTTTTTCAAAGGGACGTATCAGCTTTTGTAAATAATGTATTTGATCATCGATTTGACGTAACTGGTAGCTCGACCACGTATGCTAACACTACCATCAGATAGGGGAAATTTTTCCCTACTTGATAGTGGTGATAGTATGCGTGGGCAAGCTACCAGTTACGCCAAACCGACGATAAAATGAATTGTTTACAAAAGCTGCTCAATAGCTCACTCGGGGCGGTAGAAAAAAAAACGTGCAAATAAGGCTGTCCACGAGACAGTTGCAATCAGCTGACTTTTTTGTTTACCAAGAACTTTTGACTGATCACAGTAGAACCAACAATCAATACGAAACTAACGATTTTAAATTGGCTCACTACTTGACTAGCCTATTCTACCCATAATCGCATAACAGTCCCATATGAATAGGAAATCAAGCAACGATGAGGCTGATATGCGATTATTGGCAGTATTGGTCCCAAGCAAATCGATTAACGTGCCCCATTATTGTTCGAAATTCTAGTACTACACTATGTTTGTTTTGATTTGCTATAAAAGTTTGACAGATAAAATGAGGGGTTCGTGGATTTTCCTATGTTTCGAGGGGTGAATCGATTAGCCTGGGATCGAAGATAGTACCAGAGCTGAGCCAAAAAGTTGAGCACGTTTCTTCGGGACCTTCTAGTCTTAGAGTTACCTCTATCGTAGAACTGGCAGTTTATTCTCATATGAATTTCTGCTTTGTTTATATTTACATTCAGCACCATTAGCACCAAATCACTCACACACTCTAGATTTCTAGCTGTCAGTTCCAGTGAGAAACGTCTCTTGGATCACCTTATTGTTGGCAAGCTGCTTCACGAAGTAAAGCCGAAGATGATGAATGGAATTTTTTTTGTTATGTCTTTTCTCGATTCAGATCAAGCTATGTCCTCATCCATGTATATTGCAACAAACCAGGCAAGCAATATATCATTATCCTTCTACCACTCCGATCGAACTATGTTACAGAGCGAGTTTGTCATGGTAGTTGTAGCAACCGTTTTGTCTGTATCGTTGGTTGCTTTATGTGTTTGGATTCGCTGTGTATGATACATAAAACTTGTCAATTTAGCTTTCAGAGGGTCACAATAGCGATTAGCTGTAACTATGAGCAATCGTGATGAGCGAGCAATCAGCGATCATAAAATCACTAGTTGTGACCTTCTGAAAGCAAAATTGACAAATTTTATGTCATACACAAATTTACTATATTTTCTGAGCAATGTGTGTGTCTTCATTCAAACTTAACCAAATTCAAATGAGGGCTTAAAGACCAAAACGGACTTAGTAACCATGCGGCCTGTTAACCCAGCCTACCATACCTCACCCATTTCCACCTAAATCCTGACTTCTAATGCCGTTCTTCATTTTCCTTTCGCGTCCTACAGATGTAATGATCTTATGGTCGATCTTCATCAAAAGCAGGAGCAAATCTTCGACATGGAAAAGGAACTGATAGTCGCCCGCAAGGAGCGGGAAGCGGCCGTCAAGGAGGCAGAACAATGCCGCAACATACAGAACAGCGTTCAAGTGGAATACGAGGTCTTTCAGCAACGGGCCAAGTCACGCGAGAAGGAACTAGTTGAGTCCCTTCATGAAGCGCGGACCAGCACCGCTACGAAAGGAGACGTCCACAGTCTACTGGAAACGACGGGAAAGGAGTTGAAGCAGCTGGAAGTGCACAACTACAAGTTGCAATCGCAGTTGGATCAGCAAGCGGCTGAGCTGGAGAAGCTTCGGAAATCTGAGCTGGAAACGGGAGATAAGCTTGCCAAGATGAAGGACGTATTGGGCAGGGATGTCGGAAGGAAAGATACAAAGAAGCTCTTCCGTCTTGTAACGAAATTGAGAGCGATCCTGGCGGACGAGGATACGCTTCTCATCAACACCAGTATCGACACGGATGAGTTTGCGGATAGTTTGGGAGACTCGAGCTTCAACAGTGACAGCTTGGATCGGATGTCCCCTACGAAGATTGTTCTGACAAATGACACGGGAAATAAGAATGTAATGTACAAGAACGGAAACAGTCAGATGCTAGACATGGATATCGAAAATGGAGAGTTGAAAAAGAAGATAAAGTTGTTGGAAGAGGAAAGCTTGACGTTGGATGCGTTGCTAAAGAAGTACGAGAGCGAGATCGAGAAGCTGAACGAGAACGAGAATCGTGTAAAGGAAGTAACAAAACAACTTGAACATGAACAAGCGAAGTCCAAGGATTTGAATGATTGTCTTCAGATCAAGAAGGCGGAATTCGATAAGCTAACAGCTGAGTACGATGAGTTGTCAACGCAGGTGATGGACAACATTCAAGACATTGACAACTACAAAGAACAGGTTGGGAACCTGGAGAAGAAATGGCTCGAGTCTACTGCAACAATCGATAGGCTAAATGAAGAACTTAAATCGTTAAAAAATGCTACAAGTGACCTGCAATTGTTACAAGAAAAGAACAAGGCAACTGAGAATCAGTTGAGTGAAGCTCATGTGCGGATTGTTCAACTACAGGAAGAAAATGAAACTCTGCAGATGTTCAAGATCAAGTGTGAAGGTGACAGGGAGCAGATCGAACGGCTCGAGTCAGTTTCCACCGAACTGGAACAACTCAAAGATCAGCATCGAGAGCTGCAAGCTAGGAGCGTTTCCTTGGCAGAAGCCAACAGGGAATTGGAAGAGAAACTGCAATGCATGGAACAGGCTCAGGAGAAGCACGGTCAGCTTCAAACGCACTGTGAAGAGCAGCAACTGAAGTTGAGGCAGTTGCAGGAGGAGAACCACGATCTTACCGTCGCCGTGCAGGAACTATCCGCGAAGATAGTTAGTCTTGAGGAACAGATGATACGAGATGACAGTGGTGCGCAGCTGGGCGTCGAGTCGGCTAACGAATCATTCAAAACGAAACTCGACGCCAGTCTCGAAATGATCAAAGAAGAAAGGCACCATCCCCTCGGCTTGGAAGAAATCGAAAACAAGGTAAAAGATTTGGAACAGGAGAGGGAGCATCTTTTGCAGCAGTTGGAAGAAGTACAAGCTGAGAGGAGTGCAATGGAAGGTAAATATTCCAGCTTGCAGACAGAACAAGAAGATAGCACGAAAAATCTGAAAAAGGAATTGGAAGAGTTGACCGATCGTCATGCAAAACTGCAGCATGAAAAGCTAAAACAAGAAGAGGAACTGCAACTATTGACCGACAACTTGGCTGCACTTGAGGAAGAGAAATCTGCAATGTTGGAGCAAATGAAACTCGTCCAAGAGGAACTCAAGCAAACGGTCGAGATGAAGGAATTGGATGCATCTCCGGATTTGGAGAAGAAGTTGCAGCAATCTTTGGAAGAACTTGCCGCCCTCAAGGAAGAGAAAGAAATTTTGATGCAGCAACTTGAGTGTAATAGAGCGGACCAACAAACCGTGGAGGAGAAGTGTGAAAGTCTCTGCAACGAATTGTCGCAGATGATCTCGGTCAAAGAACAAGCAAACGAAGTCGAAAAGCAAGGGTTGAAGAATGAAATAAACAATCTACACGGAGCGAAGCTGGAGTTGCAACAGGAAGCTGAGTCGTTGAGAAGCCGAATCGCGGCGTTGGAGACTGAGTTGACGGATGTGCATGAACAGAAAAGCAAACTACTTGCAAAGTTGCAAGCACTGGAAAGTGAAATGGAGGAATCGTCCAACATCCGGGAACATTTGGATCGAGAAGTTCGAGCATTGAAGACCGATTTGGGTAATCTGGAACAACAACTGACGGAGAACAACGAAAAATTGGAACGGTATCAGGAGGAGAATGAAGCTTTCCAGCGGGAGCTGAGAGATAAGACTGACGAGGTGGGGAAGCTCGAAGATAAGCTAACTGCTGCGCAGGAAGAAAGCATTGATCGTGTGAACAGAACCGAAGACGAATGGGTTAAAAAACTGCGAAATGCAGAGGCGCGCAACGACGAACAAAAGATTACGTTGGATGCTTTGGAAAAGGAGAAAATGAGCTTATTGGAAGAAGTTGGACAAGAGACGGCCGTGCGCGAATCTTTGCACGGAACAGTGAAGGAGAAGGATGCTCAATTGGAGAGTCTCAGTCATCAGGTTGCTTCGCTTGAAAATCAACTCGTCGATTTGAAGCTTAGGAACGAACAAATGGAGACGCTACGAGCAGATTTAGAGCAAAAGGTTGAGGAGCTAAGGAAATCACTGCACGAAAGGGAGGTTGAATGTACCGAAAAGGCAGTTGAGATTGAAAAAATTGAACAGAAGGTAGTTGCTGCACAACAGGAGAGCTTGGATCGTGTAAGCCGAACCGAGGAAGAATGGATTGAAAGGCAGAAAAATGCGGAAACTTGTAACGGAGAACAGAAGCTCAAACTGGACGCGTTGGAAAATGAGAAGAAAGTCCTGTTGGATCGAATTGAGAAGTTGATGACCGAGCAAGAATTTATGATTGGGACGATGAAGGAGAAGGATTCCCAGCTGGAGAGTATCAGTCGACAAGTCAAGTCTTTGGAAAATCAACTCGCTGATTTGAAACTGGAAAATGAGCAAACGGAGCTTGGAAGATCGGAAGTCGATAAACTCCGGGAAGATTTAGAGCAAGAGGGTGGAGAGCTGAAGAATCTGGTGGAAGAAAAAAAGGATCAAGTAAGGAAATTGGAGCAAACAGTAGCTGCATTGCAGGAGAAAGCTGACTGCCTGATAAAGCAACTTTCCGACAAGGAACAAAGACTGAGTGAGAAAGAGAAGAGTACATCCGAAATGGAGCGCGAATTGAAAAAGCAACTTTCGGAGCTAACGGATAGCCACGAAAGCAGTCTCAAAGCGGAGAAGGAACATTCCAATATGTTACGGCATCAAATAAACGAACTGGAACGCGTGAAGGATTCATTGGCATCTGATCTCAAAGTAGTGCAAGGGAAACATGATGCTTTGACGGGCAACCATGCAGATTTGTTGCAAGAGAAAGCCCAACTGGATAAGACAACTATCCAACTGGAGGCTCAGATGGTGAACCTCAGATCGGAACTATTGATTCGAGACGAAAAGTTGAACGCTGTTGAACGAAAGCTGACGGACAAAACGGCCGAACTTGAAGATTTGGGCGGAATGCTCAAGGGTAAATCAGTCGAAATGGAGCAAACGATCAAGGAGTTGGAAATCGAGAAAGTACAACTTAGCGGCGAGTTGGATAAGGAGAAATCGAAACGGCTCGATCTCTCCAACAACCAGGTAAGCTAACGAGCAAATCTCAGTATTTAAAACTAAATAAAAAGTAAGGGCTCAACCGGGATTTGAACCCGGGACCTCTCGCACCCAAAGCGAGAATCATACCCCTAGACCATTGAGCCACCTGATAAATGCTTCTGCAAAACATCTTCATACTAACCCGTTTATTGCAGATTCCGTCCCTGAAAAGCACAATTCATCAGCTCACCGAGCGTCAGGGCGTTTTGGAAAAGCAATTGGTGACGAGTGCGACCGAAGCTACCCGCAGTGCCGCGGAAATTGTACGGTTAGCACAGATTTGTCAGCAGGAAAAATTGAACGGCGAACGTTTGGAAAGGGAGTTGCTGGAAGCTAAGCACGTGTCGCTTCCGCTTCAGCCCGATGGTCGACCATCGCTTGGGGATGGAAAGGTTGCACATGCGCTGAGAAAGGAGAATGAAGATTTGTTAAGGCAGCTGAATGAGATGCAGAAAATGCATGTGTTTAAAACCAAACAACTCCAGGATAGGATCGATGAGCTCAAGCAGATGGAAGCGGAGTGCACCAGCCTACGGGAAGAAATTTCCACTATGCGGTAAGAATTATAGTTGTTTAGGAGAAGGACGGTTGAAATGACGTATTTCATTGTCTTTTTAGTCATGAAACCAGTTTCACAGAGAAGGAAACGCAAATCGTAGAGTTGAAGGAAAAGATCAACCATTATGAGTTGGTTTATGAGGAAACCAACAACCGACATCGGTCGTTGCAGCGGCAGAATGACGAGTTACGGGCGAAACATCAGAACCTGGTGATGGAGATGGACGATCTGCGTAGGATAGCCGATAAGGATCGTAAATCGCGACGACAGAGTAGTCACGACGATCGACGCGGTGGTCTATTCAATACGCGTGACAAAGCAATCATGACTGAGCCGAGCTGTGAGTTGTTTATTTAAATTTTCTCAATGAAATCAATTTTAAACTCTGACAATTTCAGCAACGGATTGTGGTTGCCTTCAGATGGACGCCCAGATAAAGGAATTACGCAAACAACTGACAATCAAGGACTGCCAACTGAACACTCAGAAGATGATGGCTGCGGCCAACCCTCTCAAGAACGACGTGGTCGAGCTTCGAAAACTGGTTAAGGATCGCGAGTCGGAGATAATCAAACTCAATGACGAAGTTCAATCCCTGTCGGTAGCTCTAGATCAAGAGCAGAAACGATCCGATAAGCGTTGTAACGCGTGCATTCGGCAACAGCGATTGAAATCGCTACGAAGCGATAAGGCCATCCTCACGGATAGGGACGATTCGGTTGATGATAATGCAGCAGCCAAAAGGCTAGAGGAAGCTCAAGAAGAGCTAAAGAAGCTGGGCGACAAGTATCAACAGATGAAGCGACTCTGTCGGATACGGAACGAAAAGATTGTTAGCTTGAACCAGGACATCGTGGAAAAGGAGAACGAAAGCTGCAATGCCAACAAGAGCGTCCAGCAAGAGGTCTCCGTTCTGAAGCGCCAGCTTAACGAAAGTGAGGACAAGTACTCGCAGATACAGAAGCTGTATCAGAGCAAGTGTGGACCTCTAAAACCCAAAACGGCGGAAAGGATGGTGCAGACCGAACTAGCTGCGATTGTAAGTCTTGACTAGACAGCTCAACATCAAAGTTATTTAACTTTATGTTTCTGCATTCCATTATAGAGCGAACTCGACATACTGCGAGCCAAGTACGAGAAGTACAAGACGATGGCCATAGCGCTGGTGGAACAGAACGAGGAACTGAAACGGAACCAAGCATCAACTTAAAACCAATCAGAGCTAACATTTAATTCTAGTCCGAAGCAGGTGTGCAACAGTGACTTCAGTTTCCAATCCGCCCAACCTTTGTATTGTACAGCACCTTCGTTAGGGACCTACCCATTTTTGTGATAATCTGCCTACATACCCACTAGAATATGTTGCTTTTGTTCCCTTGCCTGTAAATCAAGTTGTATGTGGACCTCGTGGAGCGTGTGTGATTTAAATTGTGTGGTTTGTGTGCCCAGGCAATCAATTCATCAATTGACTGAGTTTTGATTTATTCCCCATTTCCAAATGCGTGTCCGGATCGCGGAGTTGACGCGACGCGCGGTCCTCTATTATTAATGGAAATTTGTACTAACTAGTAACTACAACGCCGGTTCTTTACTACCTACCTACCTGTTATGCATTTAGGAATTCTCATGAAGAAATTATACTTACTGTATTTATTCGTATTACGTTTATACTCAAAAACTAATATTACTCAACAGTTATCAAGTATTAAAGTGTTTGCTTTCGAGATTCCTGTTCAATAATATCACTCTCCTTAAGAAGATGATAAACGATGCCCAACAAACATTGAAAGTTGAATAAGAGCTTATTCAGACAAAAACAAGTTTATTCAACTAAAAAAAAATAGCTTTTAATCAGCTCACATTATTTGTTAGATGCTGGTCCAAGCATGTGAGGTAAAGTGACTACCTATTCAACCACCCATATTATGCGAATAGCGGCAGTGCAGCTGAGGTCGATGCAATTGTCAACATAGTGGGGGTTATTCTGAGAGTCGAAGTGACTTTTGTCACTAGTAAAGTGAGAAAAGTCATGCCGTGGTGACGTGACGGTCTGTGCAAATCGAATGGAGAGTCACGTCACCACGACGTGATTTTTCTCACTTCACTAGTTACAAAAGTCACTTCGGCTCTCGAAATAATCCCCAGCACTGGATAAGAATGTTATCACTCCAAAAAATATGCACGTCCGATCTACCTGAAAACATAGGTAGCTTTCGTCCATACTACTTTTCACGTAACATTTACGTTAATAACAGGTAGCCAAAAATATTCCCATTCAGCGGTCAACGTGTTGTAAATATAACGTGATTTCCACTTAAGTTGGAAGCGGTTATCACGTAATGTTTATGTGATTTTGAAATGATATTTACTGGAAAATACTGCTTTGACTATATGTTTTAGTATTACTTCTACGTGAAGTCAACGATTTACATAGTTGAAGATGCTAATTTCAAATAACAGACTGTAAATTACCACTACAGTCTGTTATTTGAAATTAGCATCTTCAACTATGGAAAATACTGTTCATCTTACTGTTCCGTGGTTTCCACTATAATTGGAATGGATTTGCACGTAATGTTGACGTGATTTTGAAGTGATCTTTACCGGATCTAACAAATACTGTTTTCCATTTTTTCCAAGAAAATAATACTTAAACATTGTTAGCATTTTTTTATTAATGCGTCAAGTATGTCATTGAAACGTTAATATTAACCATTTCGCTTTTCCAACAGTTAATTATTCATGACGATTCAGATGCAATATCCGTTTGCACTGTTTACTGCTGAGTCAGGCTAAATTGACCTTTGCAAATAATCCCCGTAAATTGTATCTTGTAATCCAGCCTATGAAATCGAAATAAATTTAATTAGCAGTGTATGACGGATTTCAAATAAAGCGAAATAATATAAAAATACCTTCAAACAGTTGCAGTATGCTGAATCACTTCTTCCACTAATAAAATCGATGCCGCCATATTGTTTAACTTTTTCATACATGTAAATCACGTAAACTCATTTTACGTAACCACTCCACAATCACACAACCACACATGGAAGTTTGATGTGACAATGTTGTCACATTCATCATCAGGTCCAGTGAATTTGACATGATATATTTATCAATTTTACTACCATCATGTAAACATGAAAGTTGAAGCATTCGAATGAGCTACGTGATTTTTTACGTAGACTGGATGTGTATATGTTGTAGAGTGTACACGATTATCACTTACTTTTTACGTGAAATTTCCTTAGCATCAACGAACATGAAAATCACGTAAATTTTATCAAAATTTAATTTGACATTGACGTAAGCCACGTGCAAATGATCGAAGTGGGGTGTTGAAGAGGTTACGTGATTTTTCACGTAGCATTAACGTGAAGATTTTTTTGAGTGTAGGAAGATGCAAGCTAGGGGTAATCTGGTAATGGCTCAAATGTTGGCATATGGATCGAAAGATTGGGCCCAAAGATACAAATTTCCTGCTCTTCAATTGTCCAGAATGCCTACTACGTGTTATTTTTTTTTTACTTTTCAACTTAACGGATAGATCCACTTCAAAACGATAAGTACGATTGTAATACGATGAAACGAAGCTTTAATCGACAAACGTCGAACGCTATAAAGAATGGTGGTACAGCGAAAATGGAGTCACAGTGGTTCCCAAGGACATGAATCCGACCAATCCTCCGGAACTAAGGCCAATTGAGGAATAATGGTCAATGTTGATGATTGATGATGATGTTGATTAATGGTCTTCTTGATCGCGGATGACTGTGACTTTGGATAGAAGCACGGACTGATGAAATCTGTAGCAACAATTGCTGCCAACAACCCTAATAGAAATTGTATGGTTAATTTGCTTAACGACGTGTTCTGGGTATCATCCAAACCATTTGTGGAATAGTTCAATGATTTTGGTTATTGTTCGTTTATGGTTATTTTTTATTAGGGAAGCGCGAGTCATTGACAGCTCAACATCGTTTACTTGTAAGCAAATGTTAACCCGATGTGTTCACCCCTAAACATTTTGGCCTATGGTCTTTAATTATACAAAAGAAGTGCAGATAACAACTAAGGCTGTGAACCATTTGCCGAGTTAAATTTAACTCGTGGTTAAAAGTGACATTTCGAAAGTTATTCTCAATGTTCGAAAATCCCTGTGCTGTCGATCGATCGGTTTTCGAGAAGAACTCAACCACGATTGTCAAAATTTAACTTCTTGTCCGTCAGAAATAACCACACTCGGATTAACCCTGCTATCGATAACTTTCCATTTGTTAAATTTTAACCAAAAGTTAAAAAATCCACCAAATGGTTCAGAGCCTAAAACGACATAATGACATGCTGTTTGACAACAGGCTCTCCCTTTCAATTTTCGTTAGAGGAAAAGAGATAACAGGTGGTACCCCCTACTTACATATGAGTAGATAGTGTTGCCGTAAGGTACACTCGAAAATTTTAAATGTAAGTGCGTCAAATCAAATTTCGAGCCGCTCCGTCTGTCACTTCGTTTGTGCTTGTACATACCTCCGGTGGCAGAAACGTCATCCACTAAATTGTTGGTTCTTTGGCTCGATTATCTGTCTATCTAAGACAGCTGATGCAAACATTGAGAAATTATGCTCCGTCCACATAGATGTTTGATTTGTTGCACGGCAAAATAAACGTAATAAATGTTCAACAAGCGCATACATGTAGGAATTAAAGATTTATAATATTAATTTTTAAATTAAGCAAGCTAATCATGAAAACTACAAGTTTTATTAATGATTATTCACATAAGATTTTTTAACGCATACGTTTCGTCAATGCGCATATAAACCGAGGGGACGACTCTATCTACGATGCAGAAAATATTGTGTTTGCTGTGGCTAGCTGCGCGCACGCTGAGTTGATAGAAAGAAGATTGATGACGATTCTGAAGATTTCCTGCAAAAAGATGATGCTCGGTGCAAGTAGATGCGACAAATGATAGAAGATTTTTCGAAAATTGATTCGCTAGTGTGAGATTTGTTGAGCATCTTAACTTGAAATTTAGATGTGTCGTCCCCCTCGATATAAACATATAGCATAAAAATTGTAGACTACAGTGCTGACACCACCAATGGTGGTGGCTTCAGCAACCCTCCTTCTTGGCAGAGGATTGTTATTCATTCCATAAGACAAACCACATAGGTCCTATAAGAATGCATAAAAGGTATGTGTGACCGTTTCTACATTTCATTTGACACATGATAGCGTTAGCGTTGTTATGATATACTTCGTAGATTGGACTACTTTCAGGAATAATGCAGGGAAAGTTTGACAGATAAAATGAGGGGTTAGTGGATTTTCCTATGTTTCGAGGGGTGAATCGATTAGCTTGGGACCGAAGATAGTACCAGAGCTGAGCCAAAAAGTTGAGCACGTTTCTTCGGGATCTACTACCCTAATAAAAAATAACCATAAACGAACGATAACCAAAATCATCGAACTATTCAAAAAATGGTTTGGATGATACTCAGAACACGTCGTTAAGCAAATTAACCATACAATTTTTATTAGGGTAGTGTTAGAGTTACCTCTATGGTATTATCGTATTATTGATTATTCAAAAACGAGCAAGTAATATTAAATCTTTTGTATCGTATGCTAATGCCAATTGACCGTAACAAAAATAATATGCTAAAATAAAATAAAATTTTAATAAAATGAAATGCAAAATTTACTAGAAGAACCAGGAGAAGAACATTACTTTATTGGTGAGAAGTTTCTAATAAGCCCTCCCAGTTCCTCTGTATACAGAACAAATCTGATACTATAATCAGAATTGCTCAGTCTGCATGAAGCAGCCGATTTCATCAAGGAAGTTCTATCAACAACCAAGATCCATAGAGGTAACTCTAAGACTAGAAGGTCCCGAAATAACGTGCTCAACTTTTTGGCTCAGCTCTGGTATCATAGAGGTAACTCTAAGACCAGAAGGTCCCGAAGAAACGAGCTCAACTTTTTGGCTCAGCTGGTACTATCTTCGGTCCCAAGCTAATCGATTCACCCCTCGAAACCTAGGAAAATCCACTAACCCCTCATTTTATCTGTCAAACTTTCATAGCGAATCAAAACAAACATAGTGTAGTACTGGAATTTATACTAGAATGAGATACGTTAGTCGATTTGCTTGGGACCAATAGGCTAGTCATGTAGTGAGCCAATTTAAAATCGTTAGTTTCGTATTGATTGTTGGTTATAACATGTTATAGGGCTATCTTGATGATGGTTTCTATGTTGCAATTATTTGACAACCGTTATAACATGTTATAACTCTCCAGACTGTACAGCGTTTAATGTGCGTGGGCCTTAATACCCATTATCATACTGTACACTAATAAAAATTCAATGATTATTTCGAGGATTTTTTTATGTGTCCCACACATGAATTTTTGCAATGTGATGTGTAGATATAAAATTCATTTGTAACCACTAAAGAGCCTGAATTTACAAAGAGGCGACATCTTATCCATATGACAGGTCTTGGAATGACTTTTCCTATGACTTTGACAGATAATCGATTGTTCCAAAATTGACATGTCGTCTCTTTATAAATTCAGGCTCTTTAGTAACCACAAATACTATTCATGTGACTCATAAATTTCATGTGTACTTTTGAGTGGATTCTGTTTGTGTGGACACATGAAAATAATGTGGAATTTAGCATGGAAATTCGCCAATAAAAATGTGTCGAATTTTATGAGTGTACAGTGCGATAAAAAGCGTGGCACGTACTCCTGGACGATTTGACCGAAGCGTTCACTTTTCTTGTTATGTATTTATTATTTTCAATACTGCTTCTATTAAAAATCATTGGGCATCCCTAATCTTGAAACATCGCTTCGATTCTAGTACCGCTCTGGTACATCAAAACAAAAATTCTACTCCTTCTAACACACCGTTGCAAATTTTATGAAAGAGTGTGCGTGTGCGTACACGCTTGTTTGTCACGGCGACCGTGTCAGTGTGTTTGATCGATTTTGCTACCAGCTGTCATAAGCTATACTAGTGTTGGTTTCGTTTGGTAACAAACTCTTTTTGTCATTCGCTGTTCTTTTTCAGCAGTAGTTTGTGTCGTGCCGTCCTTTTCCATTACAGTACTCTCCCATTAATCTGGCAGCTTTTTAGTCTGTTTTCATATAACGGATATCGATATAAGCAGTCAGATTGCATAATTGACCACTTTGTCAAGCAGTTTTGGCGTGACTTTCTACCAGCGATTTCACAAAACTGGACCAACTAATTTCTATTTTTTTATGAAACGCACAAATGTTGGCTACTTTTCTCGAGGTTCTAGAAGAAAAAATCTCAAAATAATGTTTCATTTCAAAGTTCGAGTGGTAGTAAACGTCATTTTATCTGCTCGAATGAAGTGGTTAATTATCTTGGATTAAAGAAAATTTCAAACAATTTTATTGATATTGTATTTTTCCTTTGTCGGAACAACATACAGCGATGTAAAACCGTTGAATGGAAACTGTGTAGTAATTCAAAAATGTCGTACCTAGCAGAGGTGTGCTGTACGTCATTCTGCTCGTCTGCTTTGTACAACCAGACAGACCCGAGTGCGAGTTTTAGTTGGAGCGAGGACCAGAAGAGATCGAGTGCGAATGAAATATTCCAATCCAACAACCGTCATCATCGTCGTCGTCAGAGAGGTCAGTTTGTGTGAAGAAGGAAGAGTGTGTTGTATCGTGGTGCAACAAAAGCAGCAGCGTAGTTCACTCGTTTTCGTTACCTGGGGAAGAAAATTGGGTAAGTGGCTCCGTTCTCCGGTGGACAGTGTGCGGTATTCGAGGTGGCCCATCGGAAAATTAAATCTGTGCTTCCGTGTCTTATTTTTTCAGGTAAAACACTACTCTGTGTGAGTGGAAAATTTCCGCAATAGACTGCCAGATTCGATGAGAACGTGAAATTGAAGGCAGAAAACTGCGAAGAAAGGAAAAACGACTGCTCTTCTGTCACAGAGAGCAGCAGTGAAGTAAAGTTTCTTTATCCGTCTTGGCAGCAGCAGGAGCAATACCGAAGAAAGAAGAGAGTTTGGATTAGCAGCAGCTTTTCAGTTTTGTTCAAAATGTCCGAGAATCGCGAGGAGATTCTAGCGAATTTTCAGGTAAGTCGCAGCCTTCATCGGCCGTTATGGTCATTTCATTTCGGGGTCATTGCGGGCTCGTCCCTCTAGATAGGAAGCCCCCCTTTCAAGTAGTTCGTGTGTAATGATTATTCGCATTTATTTTTAAAGGTTAGAATTCCTCCTCCACCCAATCACCCTCCCTGCTCTAGAGGGTGGTAGGTGCACTGAACGAAATTCATCGGCTGTATATGTTGCGGTTGTGTTGTTTTGATTTATTCTGATTAATTTCATTATCTTGATTTTTTTTATTCGATTGGAAAGATGTTCGACAAACTTTGCAAAAATCAAGTTCAATGATCATTGGAACAAATTCATTGATTTGTTTGGAGCCCACTTCATGTTTTGATTTATATAATCATGTTACGAAAATTGCGAATTTGACATGCCATACTGTTGTGCACGGGAACGTAATTGAACACGGGAAAACACTTTTTTTTTAAATTATTTCTCCTACGCACATGATGAAAAATAGGTTCTTTCTGTCACTCATATCAAAATGTATCATTCCGTGAAATATAATATTTACCTGTAGCACCACTAGGTGGATTCTATACCCGCAAATGATTTAATTGGAGAGAAATGCTTTTCAGGGTGTCTTTATACCTATTTCCGGACGTTTTTGATTCGATATCGACTGGCGAGTTGTGGAGAGTTGACTGATTACAAATTTATGACTCATGTAATAACAATGGAATAATCAGTGTTGGGAAAATAAAAAAATAAAATTAGATCAACAGTTGAGATAGGTGGAACAACCAAACGTATACAGTGACTTTAAACGCAAGTTTCTCGATATTCAAAACACATCCACGTAATCTATCACCAGCATCTGAGCAATCTTCCTTTATCGAATGGCATTGTTAGTTTACGTGGGTGTGTTTTGATTCTCGAAAAATTTGCGTTCAAAGCCATTGTTTACGTTTGGTTGTACCGCCTATTTCAATTGTGGGTCTAGAAATCTAGACTAACATTTTTGAATTATTTCTGAACTCTCATGCGATACGTTTTGGCTCATGCTAGCTTTAAGCCAGGGAGCACTCGGAACAATCCACGCCAGGGTCAATTCGACTATCAACGAACGAAACATCAGATTTTGGTCAATTTCGCGGAGCATGTGTGGCCAATACTACCCTGCACCCCTACCCAATAATGATTATAAAGGACTCAATATTGACTACAAAGTAAGCACCTTTTAGGGAAAGTGGGACTACCCATTAAATGATTACGCTCTGATGAGGCAACGAAACCCCAAGTTCCTCTCCTGATCCTATCCTTCGACAATGCACCCCTCTAACCTCGGGTAAGCCGCGAGTATTCGGCCCAACTCCTACAGGGTGTCAACTACCTGAAAAAAACCTGGAAAATCAGGGAATTTAATTCAAATTCAGGGAAATATCTCTTTATAACAAACTTATTAATAAGTATGACTGACTTTGCTAGTTTCAAGCTACTTAATTACTCGGTGAAGTTTGAGGATGGTTTTTCATTTCAAATTTGTTCAATGCTTAATGTTGCATTTGGGTATGTGCATCTTGTTACACCTAATTGCGTCGGACAAAATTTAACTTTTGAGTAAATGCAAGCATGATGAAGGGTTAAGCTGGGTTTAGACAAGGCATGTAATTGATCAATTCAGCTGAATTCAATTGGCTTGAAGAGTTTAGCCTGGTTAAACTTTTTTCAATTCAAGTGACTTGATCAATTCAGTTGAATGGCATGGTTTCAACTGAGTTGATCAATTGACTTGCCTTGTCTAACCTCCAGCTTTAAGAGAAAATGATGATTTTTGTGAATACTTCTATTTATTGTTCTTTATTTTGTTCTTAACAGTTTGAATAACTCAGAGAACTAACTACATGAGAATTTAGGATAATGGTCTTGGTTGGGAGGATTTTTTTTATTGCTTAGCGTAGCACTTTCATGATTGAATAATGATCCAAATATACGTAGACAAACATTGCCTTGACAGCATAGAGTATTGTAGGTCTTGATTAGAAGCACGTAAAATTAGCTTCTAAGTGAAGTATTTGTAAGGAGGTGAAAGCGCTGTTTTTTACGAATCCACCCGCGAATTAGTTTTTGGTTAAGCGTATTATCCGGAATAATTTTCTTGCAGAGCTGGGTCTCAAAATGTGCTCAAAACAAAACAAATATAATGGGATTAATATGTAAAATGCAGAGTGACCATTGAACCGGGAAAACCGGAAAAAAAGCTGGGGAAAAACCGAAAGATGACAAATCTGGAAAAATATACCTCGTCCTCTTTGACTGGACTAGATTTTCAGAATACAGTGACTTTGAAGAATTATTAACAAAATCTTTGAATCTGGGGGCAAGACAGCTATCGATTATGAGTAAAACCGGAGTTAAGGGTCACCCACATTAGATCCGTTTGCGTTGCGTTGACGTAAATTTGACAGTTAGACAATAGATTTAGCTGTCACTTTGCCGCAACGCGTCCAATCCGGATCTAATGTGCCTTTAATTTTGAGTAACTCACGTTGCTCAATATCTTATATACACATAGCAACCTGATTGTTATATTGAAAATAATGTTGAAACCGATGCTGTCAAGCAAAGTAAGCTGACGTGCTTTCTTTGAATTTCTGTGTAGGGACTTTTGGGGTGGTTCGATAGGTAGGGATTAGGCTAAATTAATTCAATTCTTAGAGCAATATAGTTCACGTTTATGTATTTTTTAAATTTCCAAAAACTCAATGAAAACGTAATTTATACAAATATATAAAAATAATAGAGTACATACATTTTCAGAAAGAAAACTATATAAGAACGTTTTTAGTTATGATTTGAGAACATTAATGGTTATGGTTATGGTAGTCAGTAAGGTCCATTAATGGTTTTGTATAATCGCTCAACTTTACGTGGAATATATCGTGAATTGGTAATCAGAAAATTACAGGCAACCAATTCGCGATATATTCCACATAAAGTTGATCGATGTTACAAAACCATTCGTGGACCTTACTGACTACCATAACCATTACCATTAAAGTTCTCAAACCATAAGTTAAAAGGTTCTAATATAGTTCTCTTTCCGAAAATGTATGGAGAAAACAAGAATTTGGAACGGTAATGGTTCTTAACAACCCATTATTTGTAAGGTCCAGTTCCAAAAAACCATAATACATAAGGTTGAAACTTTATCATTAAACGTTCATGTAAAGTTCCATAATCATTTCAGTTAAAGTTTAGCAGGGATTATAAACAATTTTTAACCATTTTGGGTAAGGTCAATTTATGGTTCGCGTTTATGCGGGCCGTAAAACCGTCGTGCTGTCAAACCACCACAGGAGCATTTCGTTTGTCCACAATTCGATTTGTTAAACTAGCGATTCGATCTGTCAAATGGGCGAACAGATGCTTCAAACGAAATATGCTGTCAGACGATATTTTCTTTGATCAGAAAATCGAGACTACTTTGATCATTTTTGAGTAAATATGAGTAACTCAAATTTACTCGCTGCAAATATATTTACTCTGAGTACAGCTGTCTTGCCCCCAGCTTTGAATTTTGTTTTCAAAAACCAATTTGAGCAAATTTTAGAATGAATTCTAGAGATAACACCAAGGTATATCAGAGAATATTTTCTAGGGAGCTTATAAGGCTGACTAAAAGTAATTTGGTACGCCCCTTGCGCACCGCTAGCATGCCTCTAGTGTTGGGAATCGAAAATCTTTGACAGTGGTTTGTTTACACTTCTATAGAGAACAACTGGTGCAAGTTTGATCAAAGTAGTCGATCGCGTTCAGAAATAACGTCAAATGGAACTCGAAAGAAGAAGAAATATTGTGCACAAACACCTGGAAAATCCGGAGTGGTCAGGTTCCAAGCTGACGAAAGTACTGAAGATGCCGAAAACAACAGTTTGTCGAGTGCTCAAAACCTATAAGGACACCCTGAGTGTGAAAAGGAATCAGTGGATCTACGAAAAAACTAGAACTAGGGATCGACAGCTGCGCAGCAAGGTGTTGAGGTGCGTTAAAGCCAACCCCGGTCTTTCAATCCGAGATGTGGCCAGAAGGTATAACGCCAACTTTCAAACGGTGCGGGACATCCTTGCCAGGGAAAGTTACAAGTCGTATAAAGCCAGTAAACATCCAAAGCGGCACATGATGCAGAATTCCGTGGCCAAAAAGCGTGCAAGGCTCTTGTACGACCGCGTTTTGACGAAACACAAGGGCTGCACTTTGATTGATGACGAAACATACGTCAAATTCGATTTTAAGCTGCTTCCCGGTCAAAAGTTTTACATCGCGACTGGACGTGGGGATGTGCCGGGAAGATTCAAGTTCGTGAAGAAGGCCATGATTTGGCAAGCGATTTGCAGTTGGGACCTGAAAACGGAACCATTCGAATGCAGGTCTTTTTGTGCGTACCAATTTATTTTTAGTCAGCAGACAGTTTTTATTAGAACTCCCAAGAGTGAAGAGGATTCCAGGATTCGTGAAAAATACCAAGGGAAGCGAATTTTGAGGGTACAATTTCAAACTAATTCTGCGAAGATTTATAAGAAAATTCCGAGGATAATTCCAAGGACATTTAGAATGGAATTTCTAGAGAATTTTAATGAGTATTCAATGCAATTTCCCGAAATATTTAGACGAGAACTCTAAGATAATTCCGAGGAAAATTGGAAGACAATTCTCGACGGGAGAATTTCCCCTGCTCGATGGTGTTGGCAGGGAAGGGGGATTACAAGTTTTGCTCATAAAAGCTAATAGGCCCTATTCTATTCTAGTTGATCGAGAATCTGAGGTGAATTGCATGGGAACTCCACGGAAAATTTCAAGCAAATAATAAAAATTGAAGCTCTAGTGAATTCTTAGAAAGAGTTTAAAATTCAAAGAGGATATAAGGACAAATTTTAAGATTTTTTTTGAGATAATTTCTGAACTGTTATTAAAGACATTAAACGTGTCGCAGTACCAAATTCAAGGTCCAGCAAAGGTCACCGACA